ATAATTAAAACTAATATTATAAAATTTTTAGAAAATATTTTGATTATTTAAAAAAATTTAAACATTATAAAAAAAATATTTTATGATTTAAGAGATAAATTTGATAAACAAATTATAACTTATATATTAAATTTATTATAAATTAATATTATTTTGATATTTGGTTAAAATTTTATTTATAGATTTATAATATAATAACAATATTTTATATATTATTAAAAAAAGATTTAAAGTTTAAATTTAATTTAATTACAAAAAATTTTTACTTTTATAATTAATTAATATTAATTAATTATTTAATTATATTTATATTTAATGAATTATATAAATTAAATAAAAAGTTGTATAAAAATAATTTTATCTTTTATAAATATTTATAGTTTAAATTAATATATTAAACTTTATAATATGAAAAATGCTTTAATTTAATATTCAAAAAAAAATTAAATAATTTATTATATAATTGGAATTTCTAATAATATAATTTAATATATATAAACTTACTTATATAATATAGGTTTATATAGTTAATTATTATTAGAAATAATTAATAAGCAATATTAAGCTATAATATAAAAAATATATTTTATATTTTATAAATATTGATTTATTTTTCTTAATTATATTAATAAAAATTAAAAATTAATTTTATCAATATTTTATTATAATCTCATTATTTTTCTAAAAATTATTATTTTTGATCATATTCTATAAATTCTAATAAAGTCTAAATAAAATATATTTCTTATTATTTTTTTATTTCAAACTTGTAATTGATTTTTGTAATGTTTATTTTGTTTTTTATAAAATATAATAATAATAATAATATTATTATTATTAATGTTTAAATTCTTTTTAAAAAAGTTATATAAAATCATATCTATTTTATCTATTATCTAGTTATTTTATTTTCACAAAAAATAAATATACTGTATATAAGAAATAAAGATTGTATAGAAAATAATTTAACGCTTTTAACAACATTCACTTAATAATTAAAAATATGATGGATACTGTAAATTTCTTGAAATATATATTGTAAATTAAATTTTTAATGCAAAAAAATGAAGTCTTTGTATTATTTTTAACATTAAATAATGATAACAATAACAATAATGATAATGATAAACAAACAAACTGTATTTTTCATAATTATAAAAAAAAAAAAAAAATTACGGATTTTTTCTAATTGTATATTGTGTGTACGTTTAAAACGAATAAATAAACGCTAATTCTAATACTAATTTATTAATAATAAACAATATTTATTTTTTGGATTATGTGTACTTTTATTTTTTCAATAACCGAAAAACTCGGATTAAGGATTGGTAAATAGGTTGCTATAATAGGGGGATGTATATTTGGCCATATAAAATATTAAAATATTTATTGAATTGATTCTATCTTAAATATTTATACAATGTACAGCATACGAAAAAGATCGCAATCAAGTTTATTTGATAGATTGCAAAAATCACTGATCTAAATTTCTGATTTTTCAAATTTTACGATGATGTGTGTATTTACTGATTTAATATGGCACATCGCCTCAGCATCATAGATTATGCGTATCAATTGCAAAAAAGCGACAGTATGGCACAAAAATTTAATTATACAAGATTTGTTAATTCAAACTTTCGAAAATTTATTCAAGAAATAACCTTTCAAACTGGTAAATGTTTCGTCTATCATTTCATAAAGTTTTTTGACAGGTACATCCACAATTTAATCGAGTTATTCATTACAAATTGTTGTTTTTTATTTATGTATGTATCATAATCTCGAATGCTCAATTTGTGCGCACGCAATGTAATCACTCTATCAACGTATTTTCTGATTTGTATGGCCAAAAAAAAAAAAAAAAGCGTTCATGCCCATCATGATTGCTGCCGCTTTCGGCTAGAGCACTTTCCAGAATTCGCCAGGCGCATTAATTGGGAAAGATCGGTGTACACCCAATTTTTGACCGTTCATACACTGATAGCCTACACGGAGTGACCACATATTTCAAAACGCAAGCAAGCAAAAGTGCGTACACATACAGTAAATGCAGTATATTTCGCCGGGTCACTTATTTCGTACAAAAATTGTTTTTAGGGAGCTAATCGGGTAATGATCAACGAGCTGTTATTCCCCTTCGTAGTCTGTTACTGGATAGATTTACGGCTTCCAACGCTAAACAATTTATAGTAGTTTTATAGTATCATAGTAGTATCGTACAAGTGATACTCTTTATTAACGCGGGGATCAGCCGTGGGGATATAAAACCTGTTTCCAGATGACAATATCAAATAATATTACTTGATAGGAATTACTGCAGTGTAAGAACCAATTGAATGTCGAGATGGCTTTAAATTTGTACTTTTTCGTCCCTTGACCTGAACTTATGTTCTTGTTATTGTCCTTGTTTTGTAGAATTATTATGGTATCAAGTACCAAAAGAAACCAATACCAACAAATGTCAACATCTAGACAAATGTATACGAATTCAAGTTATGCTTGTATGCCTTACTGGATTTTTCTCAGGTTGCTACAATTTTTAAGAAAAATCATTTTTCATTGTTCGAACCATTCCGAGCTCTCATAGACTTTTTGGAGTGAAACCCTAGTGAAAATCAAAATAAAGTGGGTGGCAGTTTAATCTGTAATAAAGGGGGGAAGGGGGGGATAGTTTATTCTCAGGTCATGTTTCTTTCTCTCATTCTTTCTGTCTCCCTCACTGTTTATTTATTTATATACACACAACACAACTCACACATACATACATACATACATACATACATACATGCCACAGGCATTTACTAAAATAAGTGAATCCAACAATCCAACAATGAAATAAATAGCTGGGAATTGTTTGAATAGACAGGGAGAATGCAGTAAATCTCATTGTTATATTTTTTTGCATGTCCCGTATTCTATGTACCGTACTCCATTAGATAAAATAACGTCCACTGTTACGGACTTTTTGGGTAAACACAATTTCATAGGAGAACATCAGACCCTGCCGCTCATTCCTGTAACGCCAAGAATCTGGACGATTGGCGTCGGATGTCGGTTCCGATCCAAAACAATGATGTCGAAAATGGACACATCGAGAGTTTTCTGGAATGACATTTCATCATCGTCTATGCTAGTGGGAAAGAATAGAATTCCCGTTTATAATCGTCAAACATAACTTCCAATCATTTTCTCCGTTGTTCATCCCGTTTTTCAAGAAGTGACGCACGATCAAAATATACAAATCTTATTCGGGCATGATAGATATCGAACTTGACTATCTTAATCCGTACGCTCAGTAAACCTTTCAGACAAATATTTATCAAATATTATATACTTATAGAACTATTTTTATACATAACAATATGTTGTAGCACCCAGGATACGATGCTCCATACATTTACATATACAGTATATTACTTGGAGCTGTCAATTGAATGCACATGTATATTACGATAAAGTGTAGTGTGGTATATGGTATGCGGTGCACTCGTAGTATTGGGAAGTTTGTGACACTTCAAGGGTGGTGTTTATCTCAACTCTGTTTGGAATTTTTGATATTTGTATTACTTGGAGACAAACAAGTACATACCGTTGATTTTCTTCTTTCGTTACTATTTCGAAAGCGAAAAAAGAAAAAACGACAAATACGCATTCCGACAGGATGATTTCTCTTCTATCCAGTCCCATCATCACGCATGTAACACAGCATTGGATATCAAAGGGGAAGATGGCCCAAAATTTACTTGACAAATAAAACAGTTGCAATTTTCTTTCGTCTTGTCTTTTTCCACATAACGACCAATGTTTCAACCATCGTTCCGTTAAGACATTATGTATATTTAATTCCTTCTTATTCATATAGCACAGAAGAAAGTCTTCTGTATGTGTGTTTTTTTTTTTTAAAAAAAAAAAAAGGAATTCTATTTTATTTTTATCACAAGCTTTGAAAAAAAAAAAAATTCACGAATAACGTGTGCATACATACATACATACATACGTACATACCCACGTATAATATATATATAAAGGATTCCAGTCGATAAATCTTCTTCGTCACGCTTCCTCCCATTCTTCGTTTTTTTCCTTCTTGTTTCTTGCTTTTCTTCAACCAACCAACACCACCTGTCCTCGGACTTCTTTGCAGATAATCCAACATTGGTTGTGTCATACAAGGAAGAAAAAGACAATCCGAGATTGTTGCAGTTAAAGCAGTGGACTGTGCGATTATTATTCCTTTTGTTGCGCACGAAACTCTACCTTTCTCTTGTCAGTGATTTTTCCCTATAGCTCCAACCTCGATACACTTTTTTTTTTTTTTTGACCTTTTTTCTTCTTCTTTAATTGGTTTCTTTTAATATTTCTGAACAAACACGATATTCTCAATCAAAAGGCTTTTTCCTCGTTGCCACACTTCCCCCCCCCCCTTCTCGCAGCTCAAATCAATTCCCCCCCACTTTTTTTTTTTCTTAAGACCGACCGAGTGTGTGTATACTCAAATCTGTTATTTGTCAAATATATATATATATATATATAAAAAAAAAAAAAAAAAAAAAAAAAAAAGCTGGTTCATTGATACTTTTTTTTTGTATATATGTGTGCGAGTACACTAAGGTTTAGACTAAGTTTAATATATATATATATTTATATACCGGGTACTGTAAATATTAAAAAAAGTAAAAATCTATAAAAAGCCGTCGTACAAACCTGTTCTGTACGCATATAAAACAAACATCCCCCCCGTCGACGGCCGGCATCTAAAACTACCTCAAATCGTTATTTTTTTTTTTCCTCCCTTGAATAACAAAAAAAAAATTTCTACTCTGAAAATTTTCTTTTTTTTTCGTACACAATAAAAATTTCTTCTTTTCGCTTCTTTCAAGTCGCGTCAAAAATAATTTTCTTTCGTACTTCCGAGTAATTATTAATCAATACACCCTTTTCCCCCAAAACACTGTAATCTGTCGTATTACGCACAAGATTTTCGTTTTAACGAGAAGAATATGAGTATTGAACCCACATTCCAAGGGTATATTGAAACCACTCAAGATACTCTCCTCATTTTTGAGGCATGTAGAAGGGCGATGCTCACGAGAATATGCCGACGCTTACAGGAGAAGGAACGTAAGATCGTAACTTCCGGTAGCGTGTTTGTTTTTGACGAACGCGAATCAGGTATAAAACGTTGGACGGACGGCCTGGTCTGGAGTCCTTCGCGGATTCTTGGAAACTTTCTTATTTACCGTGAGCTGGACAAACGGGCGCCGGCAGGAAAGAAAGATTCATCGTCACCCGTCGAGAGGCAGCGTAGCGGCAGCGCTGACATTGAATCACAGGCTGAAAAAAATAAAGAACGCGCCCTGGTCGGCAGTCTCACTAACTCATATCGCTTTAAGAAGGGAGGCTTGATCAAAAAAACAATGTCCATCATGGTTAATGGGGTTAGCCAACATATGATAAGCTACTACACAAAGGAAGATGTGATAGCATGTAAACTCAAGACACCATCTTCGATACCATCTCTGGCGATTCTTGAGATTGCCCCGGAATTCTTGTTAAAACAAAATTTCAGGATACCACCGGTGATAGAGTCCACTTATGAACAAGGTGATCAATCTTTTCGGGAAATTATTAATCTTCTTCCTTTTCTCATTCAAAGAATGCTAACTCTGGTCCCCATTTCTTCTTACAGAGTTAGATGGAATGTCCTATGGAAAATCACCGTCAACGGTTTCTTCGGCTTCACCGCACGCCATACTTCCTAAACCTGGTGGGGGTACTGTAAGTCCATCACGGCTGGCAAATATGGAGTTTGCACCTTCTCGTGTAAAGATGGAGATGGAAAATTCATCGACCGTTGAAATTTATCGACCAACCTCATCTTTTTATTCTGGTTCAAATTCATCTTCCAACTATCATCCAGCGATGCATTCTCAATATGCATCATCTTACGCTACACCGTCTCATCACCACGCTGCAACCTCGAACGGCGTGGACGGAACGCACACACTACCGATGCCACAAATGCGTCCCTACATTAGTCGTCCAACTCCATATCATGATTTCCCACCGCCTCGTTTACTGACGCAACCATCGCAATCCAATCAGCCCTTGATACCAAGCATCGGATCTCATCAAAATGATTACAATGGTTATTACCACTCATCATCACCGCAAAGTTATCCTTCGTCACCTCAAAATTATTCCGCTTATTCGTCGCATTCTTCGACACACACAAATAATCCCACTACCGTCACTGCCGCTTCTGCTCACGGAAATAATCCGGTGGTGCCGCAGCAACAACAGCAGCACCATCAACAGCAGCAACCACAACAGCAGCAACAACAGGCAAACGGTCATCTTCATGCCGATACCGGTGGCGAAATGTTTTACGCCACGGGTAATGATGCTGCCACTACTCCCCAGACATTCAACACCCTTAGTCAAGTCCCTTTGTATACCACCGGAAATCCATACAATGATCTTTCACAAAATATGCCCGATTTGTATAATACTTTAAATTCTCCTTCGCCAACCTCCGCATCACAATCCCACCAGCACCACGAACATTTGGTCACCTCGCCGTCTCCCACTCTCCCAGCCATTTCATCGCCCACGAGCACGTCCAGCATAAACAACAACAATAGTTCAAGTAATGCACCCGTGACTCCACCCCTCAGCTCTCCGAGTGTCAATCCCGGCAGCGGAGGGAATTCAAATATATTTGGCCCGTACTACACATCCCTCATAAAGAACGAGAGTTATCATTCATCCGTTTCATCTATGTTAGATCCTTATTTTAGGAACGACAGCTGGGAAATGAGAAATTAATTGATCCCCTTTCTCACTGGTGCCAAACAAAAAAAAAAAATATAAATAATAATATAATAGTAATTAAAAAAAAAAAAAAAACTTAATATTTGAAAAGGCAAAAAAAAGACAAAAGAAAACAACTTGGTGGGATTTATAGGTAATAAACAATCCGTATAATAAACGGATTTTGGTAATATTAAAAAAAAAATAATAATAATGGTAACAATCGGACCACTTGAAAAGGAAAAGGATCCAAAAAAGCAATAAGCATCAGTTCGTTTTTTTTTCTTCGTGTAATATAGTCAAATCTCTGGCTGCTTATGGTATAAAGGTGTTAATGGTTCGGTTGCTTCCGTTAAAAAAAAACAATTTTTTTTTTTCCTCTTTTCTCAAACCCTTGTAATATTTGTATAGCTTCTTTGTAAAATTTTCTTTTCCTTAATCGACTTTTTTTTTTTCGACTTCCTGTCTCCAAAACAATCTAAGGAGAGAATCAAATTTATAAGGCTTCCGCGTACATTTGAAAAAACATCATCACGCGTGAAAAAAAAAAAAAAGAAAAAAAAAAACAAATTTCCCTCTCGTAATATGATCAATTCCTCCTCCCTTCGGAAAAAAAAAATCCAATAGGAACCAAAAAGTGTTGTGATAAATACCGGGGCATTGGTTATTTTCACATTAGAATTATGTGCGAATAACACGTTGGAAAATTCGCTTCGATTGAATGTACGTAAGATTTGTCTAGATATTGCTGATATGTAAACATTGGGCCTTCGAATTTCAAGAATATAAAAAAAAATAATTAAAACTTGGGTATTCCGTGCTTACCTGCAAAAAGCGTGTTACAAGAAAGTGATCGCGTGTGTCAAGTGAATCGATCAAGCATCTTTTGTCGAGCAGGTGAATAATGAAAAGTAGATAACAAATAGATCGGTTTTGTGCGGGTTATCTAAATTAACATAAAATACCTATTTGGTCTTATCGTGTGTGATCTGACTATCACCAACAAAGTTTGATGAGGGGAGAAGGGAGGGTTTAAAGGTTAGCAAAAAAAACCACATTTACTATAAAAAGAAATACAACAAATACATGCTAAATACAGTAATGAAAATACTGATCAAATAAATAATTTTTCCGCTATTTTTATCAATACGTACGTACTTAATTATACGTATGCAATTACTCACTCTGTGTGTGCGTGGTTGTTGGGCGGAATGGTCAGAGCACCACAGTGGCATGCAAAGAATCGGCGTTGTGAAATTTATCCGTTTCGTTTTCTAGCCAAGATTCTCCGCAAAATCTTGATGGTTCACGAGGCTCGCATACAATAATGAATGCTACAGTGTAAAAGCGAATTACCATTTATATCACGTGATTGGTACAAGTCATGACGATTTTGATTTTTGGAATTTTTTTTTTTAAAAAAAATATACATCGCACGCACGCATATTTACGAAAAGGTTTATGATTTCGCGTGAAAACATTCAGATGCGGGCACTTTTTACTATTATTTGTTAATTGTTAGCTTGCATAGCTTATCATAAAATCATCAATGTGTATTATGTAATTTATTTATTTAATATTTTCTAGCATGGACTGTTTATTATTACTTTATAATATTTATAATAACATTGTCATTATTATTGCCATTATTTATTATTGCCATTATTTATTATTATCATTATCATTATTATTATTATTATTATTATTATTATTATTACACTATTATTATTATAATTATTATTATTATTGGACTGCATAATCATCTTTTCAGTAGGCATGTTATTTTATTTCCTCGTGATTATGTAACCTCGAAGTCAAACATCAATTTGATGCTTATGCGGATCATTTTCTTACCAAGAAGATAGAACCAAAGGTGGACGTCTTTTTAGGATTTTTTTCAGTAGAAGATTTGCATGTCGCGTTTGATCGGTGGCCCGCCTCCGGTGATGTATAATTAAGAGATACCTTCTTCACATATTTACACAATCGGCAGGCATCCAATGATCCTGGGCAGAAATTGGGCGTACACCGACCCAGGCCTAGTCAAATAGAGCTTTTCTCACACACCAGTGAAGCGAAAAACAAATTTCACGGACGAAAAATGCCCTTAGTCAGGAATCGTGTGATGATGACATTACCGTTATTTCCGATTTCCTGGTAAACGGGTACAAGTAAAATAATGTCCGTTTGCATAATTGCGATTATATTGTGTGGAAAAAAAATAGAAAAAATCAGACGTTTTACTTCAACAATCGGAGATAAAATTATTTCAATTTACCATCTCAGGCGGATAAATTTTCCGAATGCAACTAATCAATTATAGAACGTCATTGATTTCCGATTTCGAAGTCCATTCTATGACGTCAACCGTTGTCACTGCATGATCAATTTACCATCCTGGCACATGCGAGTTTCCAAGTCACGAACTGAAAATGCCCTCTTTTTTGCATGCAACGTTATACAAGGCGGGTCGCTCATCTGGAACATTCAACTTACACGCATGCATATTCGAATCTCAGGTTCAACGATGACCTAGGAGATCGGTCTTTTGGGGAAAAGAACGCGACGCATTTTGTACGCGTCCACGCGATCGATTTACGATCCATTAATAATTTTATATTGAACCTAAATTTGGACTAAGTTAAGCTGTAAGGGTAGGTTAAAAAACTTCCGCAAAGAAGTAACGGCACTCTATTTAAGGTTACGCAAAGATCATGCAGGCGACGTAGAGGCCAATCATTTTATACGTAACATGCCCGTACACAATTACGATACGATAGTAATACACTCACCCACTCTCAATCGCACAAGTATCTTGAATGGATGTGCCATTTTCAGTACTTCAGTAACTCTGTCTAATCTAAATAAGTATATATTTTAGCCAGTTGTTATTACCACCACCTACTCCAATGACATTCCGGTATGTGGCACTCGTTTCGTAGAACAACACGGAACCATTCAGGAGAATTCTATTGTCACGCAATTTCTCCAATGAAGCAAACGCTCCCTTCGTACACATTGCTGCACGGCCAGGGCGTCACCCACTGTAATATAATTACATCTAAAAAATATAATAATCATTATTTTGTTCTCCTCGACTATCATACTCAAGTCCGAATATCAAACATCACTTTATACAACACAGACGATAACATGTTCTGTATGGCTGGCCATTATAACAATCATTATCACTCCTATTTTAGTAGCTTATGTACAGTAGCCCTCAACTGTGATGTGCGCACAAATATACTGTATGTCCCGAATCGCTAAAGTAAGATTAGCATTGCACGGTCATCTCTTTGGCAAAAGTTTTTCCCTGAGAAATTTAGGAGATTCTCATGGCGGATCGCTTTCGTGTCGGCGAACAAAATGCATCCCCACCCCCGAAAAAATTTATCTCAACGATTAAGCATGCAGCATACACCTTCTATTGATCGCACTTTAAACGAAACTCAATACGCACGTAATTTAGCCGAAAATGACCGTTCAAATATAGTAATTCGACTCGAGTATTTATCCAGATCAAACGTATATAATGTATATAATATGCCAATAATGTACGTAGTATTAGATAATATACGTACACATATATATTGTATGCATTTGGTAAGATCCTTTTTTTTCTTGTTTAGCGTAATCACAAAAATCATGACCATTCTATCATCATCTAACGTTGGTCCAAAGACAAAAGGTATCCTTGTGTTTGGTATGTAAAAAAAAAAAAAAAACAAACAATTTTAGTTTAATGTATTTGAAGCAAGCGACAAAACCATCAGAGACCACAGTCTTTATTCGAAATTCGACAATTGCGTTTCGTTTAAGTGACTCTAATTCAGCTTTCAAATTTTTTTTTTTAGAGAATGATCATAAAACACAGTAAGTATCAAAAAAATTTGGACCTCCATTTCTTTTATTATAATTAAATAAACGGGTTTTTTTTAAAGAATTTACATCGTTACCGACGGAAAATATACTGTATAATCAACAATTTTTTTATCAATTTTTTGTATTTTTTTTTGTATATACTGTATATGCATATATATATTTATTTAGTAGAAAAACATTAGATACTGTATATTCTTTATTAATATACTGTATGTATGATATTATGATTATATTAAGCATTCTTATAAAAATAAATTCACAAATTTATTATTAACTTGTTTGTTTATTAAATTGATATATGCAAAACTCCAAAAATTCTTTAAGAAAAAAAAAAGAAAAAAAAACTTAACAACAATTATTATTCTGTTTGTATTGTATTCTACATATGTTTTTTCATTATATTTAATTAAAATAATTAAAATAATATTAAAATTTATGAATTTTTTTTTATTTTATTTTTTTTCCTGTCAATGGAAATCACCAAAACTGATTGATCTACAAATCAAATTAGTTTGATTTTTAAAATTTTTGATTCAATAAAATTCAGATTGATTCGGTTTTAAAATTTTTTAATTTGATTAAATCAGATCAGATCTGATTTGAATCTGATTTTAATGAAATGTATAAAGCAATAGAATAAAAAGATTAAAAAATTTTTATAATATAATTTTTTTTTTTAACATATCACAGTATATACTATATATATAATTTTTAATAATTTTATTTTGATGGTTTTATAATTCCTTTATATTTTAATTTTTTTTTATTTTAACAATTATTATTTAAATTCTTTTAATAATTTTTTTACTGAATTTTTTTAAATAAAGCATAAAAATTTTTTTGATAATTTTAATTTTTAATATATTAATAATAAAATTAACAGTTTAGTCAATTATGAATACAACAATATCAATAATATTTTATAAGTAATTTATTAATAATAATAATATTTTCTATAATAACAAATAAAAACAAAATATAAACCTATTTTATAAAGGATTTTAATTTTAAAAATATTAAAAAAAATATTTAAAATTATTATAATATTATATACTGTATATATTTAATAAAAACAATATTATTAATATATAAATATTTTGAAAAATATTATATAACAAAATTACATTGAA